ATATTCATATTTTACCACACTTTAAATGTTAGATCGCGGGTTACGACACGTCCCTGAATACAATACGGTGGATCCCCATAAGATTATTATTGACTAGCAGAAAACCCGTGCTACGCACAGGGAAACCCCGCCATCAGAAATCACTGTGATTAGTGATCAGTTACTAATTGTGTTTCTGAATTATCATCTACTATTTCAAAATTGGCGAGACACACTGGTTTGATAAAAAAGTAGAAATTAGTAGTATGCTGCTATTTTGGTCTGTTCTTCAGTAAGCTCATATGATAATTGTAATAATGAAGAATACCCAATCAAAAGTTGGTTATTTTCATGAAGATTTGATACTTTTGTCAGTTCAATGTTTAATTGAAGTTAGCTGGTGATTTTCAGCCGCGAAAATTACGGGATTTAACCAGCGGTTTCGTTTAATTCGCAGCAATGGCGGGTTTGTCATCTACATCGCGGAGAGAACTTGATATTTCCAGGGATTTTGTAAAACAAATTAGAAATTACACGATATCACGGCAAATACGTCGCGTTCCTAGCGAATTTCTAAGATCATTATAATTAATTGCGAGTTATTCACATCAATATCGTGGCATACACGCGAATTTCTGACTCAATTAAGACTACGTAAATGTGCGCATAAAACTCATAAACATCTGTTGCTTGGGATGGGCGAAAACTATGCACGAGACTGCACGAGAACTATGGAATGTAACCATAGGTTTCCTCATATAAGATTTAATGTTTTTTTCTACTTTTTCTTTCTTTAATTTTTTTTAATCAAAAATTTTGCAAGTACGACTCATGTGTTTCGGTAAAATATGGTACAGAAGTAATACAGATTTTAATACATATAAGGATTTTATTGCAGGTGAATTATTCGTTTACAAATTCATAGAAAGATCTTGAATTATATTCGAGATGTTTCGTACCTTTGTATTCTTTTAATACCAAGTTGAAGAACTTGATTTTTTTGGCAGAAAGATCTTCGTTTGGAATGTTCTCGCCCCAGGCATTGATGTTTATCTGAAACAGTTGCGAAAACAAGTTAAATAGATTAATTTAGTATCGTTGATATCTAGTCATGTACTGTCAAAGTCCTTGACTATTGTAGCTATATGTAGCTATTATTGTAATGCTTTATTTATACACGTAACAATTAATAGTTAACATGTTTTTAACAATACGTTGATTTCCACTCGCTCAAAGGAAAATAATTTTGAAAGTTAAAAACATTTTATAAAATGTATAAGTACTTACAGTTGATTCTTCGTCTGTGAACTCGCCAAAAACTTTGCGTTTCTCCGTCCCATCCTTAATTTTTAGTTTTGTAGTTTTAGGGGAGCTTGTGAATTTTCCAATGATGTCTGAAACAGAAAAATTGTCATTCCATGAATGAATACTGAAATGAACTGTTTGCTATTTAATTAATAATTTTAGTATAATCATTAATGCATCTCAGCATTTGTTTATAGTTTGATGTATATTATTATGGTCGATTTTATTAAACGTGAAAGTTCAAGTTTCATGAGGTTTAGCGGTGAAGGATGGCTTCAGCGAAGCCGTAACGTGTATTGAACCTAAGTTTTGTAGTTGAGAAGTGAGGTACGTTTTAGGAAAACCATTAAATCGTTTGGGTTGTAGGGGGTGGCATCTCCTCCTCTAACTTTTGAACGGTTCGGGATAAAAAAACGAAACTATAATAATGTAACTATTAAAAATAATCCTATTACAGTGGATATCGCTCATAACGACCTTGCAAGTACCGGTCTTGGTTGTTATAATCGATATGGGTTATAACTTAGAGCACCTATATAGCGAGAGTATGGACAAATCACCTCGTGTAGGTCGTACGGCCCAAAAGTGAAGCCACCCTTCTAACCTACTTCTAACGCAATTTCACTGCCAGTCAATTCCAATTCTAACGTAAATAGCTACTATATGTACATAAATGAGCGTTCTTCCGCAAAAATGAGTAAATTTATGCAAAACCTAAGTCAAATACTTGTTTTATAAACGATGGTTTGTAACAATTGCATTAGCAAATCGCTTTGGATTTTTGAAATTCATAGATTGGCTAAAATTTTAGGCCCTAATCATTCGCGAAGCGTTGGTGAAGGCCTGATGGATTTTCGCATGTCACATCTGTCTCACTATCGCTATACAGGTACTCTATTATAATCGATTATATCGATTATATCGATTATATCGATTATATCTATTATATAGATTTTAACGCACTCTCCTTAATTTGAAGGCGGAGACTAAGGTTGCAATGTCGCTGGAAGTTGATGAGTCGAAGACGCCATTGAAATATGGCTCTCAATATTTGAAATGCAGTAACTTTTTTTTTTAAATAGTCCATAATTTTCTTGTGTTTAACAGCAATATTTATGTGTACCATTTGCACCAATTTATGGACCGAAAAATGAGCTTGCAAGGGCCGAAAAGTTCCATTCTAAAGAGCAAATCCAAAAAATAAGCTGTAACCGGTAACAGAACCCGAAATTCCGTTTAAGCTCCGTCGCTATGACTGCCATGTCACTAAGCGTCGTCGTTATATGCGATACCTAAATACATTGATTTAATGGAGTTTCGGGCCGAAGAGATTGCGTCGCTATGACCTGTATGTTTTTATAACCAATGTCGTTATACGCGATATCCACTGTATAACTAATAATTATTAAAAACCAAATTCAGGAAATTAGTTACAGTATGTAAAATGTTCTTACCTACAGAGACATCTAGTTCCTTATCAATGATTTGCCTTATTTTAATAAACTCATCCGGTGTTCCTGCTGTCTCCACTTCGTCATTGTGATCAATGGTTGATTCCGATCTTAGAATGATTTGTTTTTTTCCGGATAATTTGTTTATTTCAACACGAATGTCCAAAATACGGTATATATTTCCGTTCTGGAAAAAAAATGTATATTCTTAGGTAAAATTGCTATAGGTAAGCCAAAGCGTGAAAATTGAGGTTGCCTGATTCACATGTAGCAGAGAGTTTCATGGCAATTTTTCCTGTGCGGTTTGACTCATGTAGACCATTAAGTTTTCATGAGCGGGAGGTTTGAATGAACGCGTCAAGAAACATTAAATTTATAGGAATTAATTTGAGTGCACCACACAACACCACCACATGACCACCATCTTCCGGTGATCGCCTGATGGGTAACCGTCGTTACTAATTTGAGTATTGGTTATTAATTTACGAGGAAAATGCTTGCTACATTTGCCATTCACCATGCAAGGACTATGCGGATTTATAGGTCCACAAGGTCCGTGAATCATGTGACTCTTCACAAGTTCATATAATTCAGAATCCTGTTTTGGATCTGGGATTTCGGCACTAATAAGTTTATCAATATCATTGGGATTTATTTTGGTAACTGACCAAAGCAGTAGATGAACATTTGGAAGACCTCTTTTTTGCCATTCTATAGTGCATGCATAACACTTTACGTCTCCAAAAATTTTAGATTTTGTCAAAAGGTGCATTAACTTGTCTACTTTCAATTTAAAAACTCTGGCGATCAAATCGTGCCTATGGTACGACTTTTGATTTGGCAGTAAGTTTTCTGTTATACCCAAGTAGCATTTTGCAACGAAAAAATTGCAATTTAAATGAAATAAAATTTCCAGATGATTTCAACTTTCTTACAAGAAAATTGCAATTATTTTACAACATCTGACCCCCTCATTGTAAAAAAGTTGCAAT